TTTTTTCAAACTTGCTCAATCGAGATTCTACTGGGTAGTGTATTGTGTGAAACCCTTGTACAATTTTTTTAATTGTCATGGGTAGCCGAAAAAAGATTTCGAAAATTGAAAACAGAGTATTTTTACGGGTTGGAGCATGTTTAGGGGTCAATATCTGAGTTATGCTAGAGTGTGGGTTTTTTGGGGGGTGAGGGAGTGGTGGGGATAGTCTTTTGTCATATATCTGGCGATCGTGTGACGCCTTGGCGATAGTGAAAGCTTTCATCATTGCGCGCAATTCTAGTTAGGCTTTCACCTTCGGTGAAACACTATTGTTTTTACTAGGGATTATTATTAGGCTTTCACCTTCGGTTATTACTAAGATTAATATTATTATTTCTTTTTTTCCGTTTTGCCTATTTCTCAGCAACTATAAGAGATAAAAGTCTGAAGTTTGATTTTCTCTCGTGAAAGTGGGTGGTAGTTAGTGCTTAAACGTAAAACTAAATTTCTGCGCATCTAAATGGTAAAAATTCGCGGGTTAGGCAATATATAATGGAACGCTGAAAATCTATTATTTTCTTTTTTTGAGCCTATTCAGACGCTTTTATTTCGAAAACTTCTCTTATTTCCTTTCTTAAACTTATGTTACTTAGAGTCCTAACGGTGGGCTATGGTGTGAATCCAAATTTAAAAGCCTCAATATAGTATAAATGGTCCAAAAGGGCCACAATCTTTGAAAAAAGTCGAAAAATCGTTATATCTGTAAATCTGCTTCTAATGGTATAAGGGAGGTAAAACTGTCCAATGGATCTTTCTGAAACTTCTGGTACAGGAAGTTAAGTTTCCATACCACTTGTTAAATCTATCTCGATAATGATCCGTAAACAGGAAGTAGTGAAAAAAATATTCGATATTTAAAAATAAAATCGGTGCTATTGCAACAATCGGGATTTCACGGTCGGGTGTGACCAGATCAAAACATTTAAAGTATCGTTTGGTAGCTCGATAAATGGGCTATTGTATGACACACTTCCTGTCTGATTCCTGAAAGCCGGTTCAGTGCTGCTTGCAGGTCTAGTTATTATTATTTTTTTCCGCGGGAGCCTATTTCTCCATGATCGAAAACAGATATCGATCTGGAACCAAATTTTCTATTGGGAAACCATGTAGTGGCTACTTGATAAAACAATTTTGAAACTTCTGCGCATACCGGAAGTATGATGCCCAATTTATACGGATACTATGACCAAGCAGCAAAATAAGACAAGCTGAAAATCAAGTATTTTCTGATTTGGAGCGTTTTTGGACGCCTTTATCTCAAAAACTTAACCTACATTTTTTGTTTTAACTTTCTCTATCGAGAGTCCTTTCGGTAGTCTTGTGCATGAAAACATCCAATATGTCTTTGAAATGTCTGGAATAGGATAAAAAAAAGGGACTGAAAATCGAAAAAAAGTCGAAAAATCGTGAAATTTTGGAAAATGCTATATTATTTTATTATTTAATCAGATTTTTACGAAAAGGTTACACATTCAGATAGCTGACCTAATTACGATTCTAACGATGTATAATATGTATTGAGTTATTGAAATTTAATTTTCGATATTTTGACATTTTTGAATTTTTGGCACTTTTGAACATAGGATTTCTCAGAGCCATTTTATCTGTTCAGATAATGTAATATATCATTACAGAGCCCTGTGGCTATCTAATTGCCCAAATTGGTTATTAAAACTATCCCGGACGTATTCAAAAAATGAAGAAAAAGGTTAAAAAAAATTAGCGCTCGTGCGAAAAACTTGATTTCTCCATCTCCATCAGATCTTAGCGGACCAAAAGAACTAAAGTGTCGCTGGATAGCCCTATTAATGGACTATCATATGCACAACTTATACGGATACTATGACCGAGCAGCAAAATTTTCTGATTTGGAGCATTTTTGGACGCCTGTATCTCGAAAACTACTCAAAGGATTTTTCTTAAACTTTCCCTATCGAGAGTCCCTCCGGTAGTCTTGTGCATGAATCCATCCAATAAGACATTGAAATGTCTGGAATAGGTAAAATAACGTACTGAAAATCGAAAAAAGTTGAAAAATCGTGAAATTTTGGAAAATGCTCTATTACTTTATTACTTAAACAAATTTTTACAAAAACGTTAAACATTCAGATAGCTGACTTAATTACGATTCTAACGATGTATAATATGTATTGAAATATTTAAATTTAATTTTCGATATATTGACATTTTTGCATTTTTGGCATTATTGAACATAGGATTTTCCAGGGACATTTTATCTGATCAGACATTGTAATATATCATTACACAGCCCTGTGGCGATTTGATAAGCCAATCCGGTTATTAAAACTATCCCGACAATAATCTCCATACCGGAAGTATTCAAAAAATGAAGAAAAAAGGTTTAAAAAAATAGCGCTCGTGCGAAAAACTTGATTTCTCCATCAGATCTTAGCGGACCAAAAGAACTAAAGTATCGCTGGATAGCCATATTAATGGACTATAATATGTCATCTGAATGATACGATTTAGATGGCTAGAAAATAAATTATGGTACGCCGAAAATCTAGTATTTTCCGTTTTGGAGCATTTTGAGAGGCCTTTTTCTCAAACTACGTTTTTTCTTAAACTTTTTTTACTCAGAGTCCTATGGGTGGACTGTGGCGTGAGTCCAAAAATAAAAGCATTGAAATAACATATGTTGTCCAAAAAGAGCCCCAATCTTGGAAAAAAGTTGAAAAATCCTCAAATTACTGAAAATGCTCTTCTATTATTCTTTTTTTGAAAACAGATGATCGAAAACAGATATCGATCTGGAACCAAATTTTCTATTAAGAAACCATGTGGTGGCTACTTGATAAAACAATTTTGAAACTTCTGCGCATACCGGAAGTAACCGAATTTTGTACTTTTTTCCGGAATTGAAAATCGGCCGTAGTTTCGTCAATTCTTTACCTATTTTCAAACAAATGACATTTTCGGAAACCCCGAATCTTTTCTGAGATAATGGCTATCTCACATTTTTCAATTTCGAACATTCATCTATGGCTTTTGTCGTTCGAATTTTGAAAATACGTTGTTTACGAGACAATTTTTGTTATTTTTCAAAATTTTCAAATTTGACCTACATTTTGGGATACCTGAAGTATATCCGACTCCAATAATATAAGTTTCATTCAGAGTTATCGCCTTTTATTTTTCGAATTTTCTGCCCATTTTATAACACTTATATTTTTTTGAAAGCCTCAATTGTTGTTTCTGAAACTACTGGAACATAAAGCTATATAGTCAGACCGCTTGGTAAAGCAATTTCAACAACGATCCGGAAACCGGAAGTAGTCGAAATAATGATAGATATTTCGAAAAAACGCAAAAATGGATGTTTTGGGGAAAAACTTGATTTCTTCGTCCAATATAAATGGATTAAACGAATTAAGCTTTCAATGAGTGGCCCGAGGAATGGACTGTCGTAGTATGCCCAATTTATACGGATACTATGACCAAGCAGCAAAATATGACAAGCTGAAAATCAAGTATTTTCTGATTTTATCTCAAAAACTTAACCTACATTTTTTTTTTTTAACTTTCTCTATCGAGAGTCCTTTCGGTATTCTTGTGCATGAAAACATCCAATAAGTCTCTGAAATGTCTGGAATAGCATAAAAAAAGGGACTGGAAATCGAAAAAAGTCGAAAAATCGTGAAATTTTAGAAAATACTATATTATTTTATTATTTAATCAGATTGTTACGAAAAGGTTACACATTCAGATAGCTGACCTAATTACGATTCTAACGATGTATAATATGTATTGAGTTATTGAAATTTAATTTTCAATATTTTGACATTTTTGAATTTTTGGCACTTTTGAACATAGGATTTCTCAGGGCCATTTTATCTGATCAGATAATGTAATATATCATTACAGAGCCCTGTGGCTATCTAATTGCCCAAATTGGTTATTAAAACTATCCCGACAATAATCTCCATATCGGACGTATTCAAAAAATGAAGAAAAGGGTTAAAAAAAATTAGAGCTCGTGCGAAAAACTAGATTTCCCCATCAGATCTTAGCGGACCAAAAGAACTAAAGTGTCGCTGGATAGCCCCATTAATGGACTTTCATATGACATCTGAATGATACGATTTAGATGGCTAGAAAATAAATTATGGTACGCCGAAAATCTAGAATTTTCCGTTTTGGAGCATTTTGAGAGGCCTTTTACTCAGAGTCCTATGGGTGGGCTATGACATGAGTCCAAAAATAAAAGCATTGAAATAACATAAGTTATCCAAAAAGAGCCTCAATCTTGGAAAAAAGTTGAAAAATCCTTAGATTACTGAAAATGATCTTCTAATTTTCTTTCTTTTGAAAACAGCTGAATGGATTATTCTGAAACTGCTTTTTTATTGCCCAACAGTAAGTTTTTTGACTATTTGGTATCAAAATAGCCATGATTGGGGGTATCTGTTGGCTGAGTGTGAATTTTGGCGTGTAAATGTGTAACATTTTGTTCACAGTTATGTCAAAACATGGTTAGGTCTAAATATTAAGGCCAACTCAACTGCAGATTTGGTCTAAAGTCACGAGATGTAAACAGGGCTGACCCTAACCCTAACCCAAGACCCAGTCCTTACCCTAACCCTAACCCACAATCTTGTCAACAAGCATGTAGCCTAGGCCTAAACCATGATCTAGTCCCGACCCTAGCCCAAACCCACAATTGTGTCAAAAAATCATGTGCCCTAACCCTATTTACATGTTGTGACCTTGAACCAAGTCTGCAGTTGGCCTTAATATTTAGACCTAACATGTTTTGACATCATACAATGAAATGTTAACATGCACACTCCAAAATTCACACCTGTGTGACTTTTGACCAAACCTGCAGTTGGCCTTAATATTTAAACCAAACCTAAAACATGGTGTCTACCTTTGAGATTGGCTTAGACTTATGTGACACTCAAGGTTTACTTATTTACTGACTGTTAACTGGTTTCTTGTTGGAGGGCCACTGAAGGGATGTTCGCTAGAAATAAAAAGGCATATTATTTCTATTTCCAGTTGAAACCGCGAGGAGGTCTCCCTTCTTATTCAACCACATATTTTTTTTTATTATTATTATTATTTTCTTTTTATTTATTGCATATTTATTTCCATCTTTCTATCATTTCAAGTGTCAGGTTACTGTGCAAGAGTGGAATGATTGACCTCAACACAAGTATTAAGGCAAAAGGTGGGTATATGACAATGGCTTGCATTTGTCTGTCTTGCTTATTTACTATAGCTGTGATCCTGTAAAGTGTCGTCTGCTGTTGATGGCTGGTCTAAATGGCCCTTTTTGTAGCCGGATTCAACTGCACAGTAATTCTTGTACTTGCGGAATTCATGAAGCTTTCGTCCACGCAGCAGAAGTGTTCGTCTTTGCACTTCGGGTCTGGATTGGTATTCTCTGTGGTACAGACTTTCTCTTTCTATTTGCCGCATTGTCTTTGGAGAAAGGGGGGTCCCAAGGAGTTTAGCTTTCTGCTCAGTGGCACTCTTTATTCCATCATTGCTTCTCAATATTGTTGAGGAAAGTCGACCCATCGCATTTCTTCCGTAATTTACATTCTTTGGAAGTGAAACACTCACCGAGCGGTTGATTGCCTCACATTTCTGTGTGTTTGTTTGGAATTTGGTTTTTTCTAGAGCTGCTTCACTTATTCGGATTTTTAAAATTTCACTTAGATTTGATTTGTCATTTTCATTCATTTTCAGGGAATCAACTTTATTTGAGGCCAGATACATGGAACGGTTCCACCAGTTATTTGTTATCTCACCCCGGCACACAACAGAATGAGAGCGGCACTTTGAGCAGTCACCATCGTAACACATGATAGTGGACTCTAGGACTTTTGGTAGGCGTTTTCTCATCTCCTCAGTATTACCACAGTGATTTTCAAACAATGTAGTCATGATTAGACTGCATCTAGCTTTTTGTCCCCCGCCTTTCGAAGAAAGCAGGGGACTATTAAAATGGGTTCGTCCGTCTGTCTGTCCGTCTGTCTGTCCGTCACACTTTTTGGGACACAATAACTCTCTTCCTAATTGAGCTAGAATGTTCAAACTTGGTGTATGTGTTTATTAGGTCAATGCCTTGATGGAGTTCGAAGATGAGCATTTTCTGCTTAGGGTAAGCAGAGATAAGCAATTTGATTGGTTGATACTTTGGGGCACGATAACTCTCTTCCTAATTGAGCTAGAATGTTCAAACTTGGTGTATGTGTTGATTAGGTCAATGCCTTGATGGAGTTCGAAGATGAGCATTTTCCGCTTAGGGTAAGCAGAGATAAGCAATTTGATTGGTTGATGCTTTGGGACACGATAACTTTAGTTGTCCCCCGCCTTTTGAAGAAAGCAGGGGACTATTAAAATGGGTTCGTCCGTCTGTCTGTCTGTCCGCCTGCCTGTCCGTCCGTCTGTCTGTCCGTCACACTTTTTGGGACACAATAACTCTCCTTCTAATTGACCTAGAATGTTCAAACTTGGTGTGGGTGTATATTAGGTCAATGCTTTGATGGAGTTCGAAGATGAGCATTTTCTGCTTAGTGTAAGCAGAGATAAGCAATTTGATTGGTTGATGCTTTGGGACACGATAACTTTAGTTCTAATTAAGTGAGAGTGATGAAACTTGGTGTATAGTTTTATTACATCAGTACCTTGACTAAGTTCGTGATGAGCATTTTCTGCTCAGGGTAAGCAGAGCGATAAGCAATTTGATTGGCCGAGACTTCGGAACACAATAACTCTCCTTCTAATTGAGCTAAAATGTTCACACTGCTTCTAATTGAGGTAGAATGTTTAAACTTGATGTAGATGTTCGTCTTGACTGAGTTCAATGATTAACATATCGATCTCAAGCTAAGCAGAGATAAGCAATTTCCTTGGTCGATGCTTTGGGACAATATAACTTTGATTCTGTCTGATAGAGAGTGATGAAATTTAGTGTATAGTTGATAAACAGTTTGATTGCTCGATACTTTTGAAAAAAATAGATGTGCGATTAATTAATATGTGGCATCTATTTATTTGCGGATTTCGGCGGGGGACATCAGCCTCACTGTTGGCTTGTTCATCTTGGCTCAGTATTATCTTGATCTTGCCCTTATCCAGTCTGGTTTTACCAGGAAACATCTCGTCACTGAATTTTGCATTATTGCCGTGTCTAAATTGAGTGGCAGCCAGGTGCGAAGGGTCAGCTAGTCGCTCCACACTCCACATCGGATGCAAAGTTTTTAAACTATCTTCAATTCCAGCAGCTGATCGTCCATCTCCATCTGTTGTGGCATATTTGATGAGGACGTTTTGGAGAGCTAGTTCTGTGCCAATGCTTTTCCCCATATCATACTCAGATAATGGTGCGTGGACTGGTAAATTTGCAGTACAGCCTTCATGTCCCCCAGGGCAGTTGACCGTAAAACCTTTTCCCTTAAGCCAGGCACCTTGCCAGCACAGTTTATTTTGCATCACAGCACTCAGGATATATTTGTGCTTTGTGTTTGTCTCGCATGCAATTCCAATGGCTTGCAAGGCTGCTTGCCCTGGCTTTTTACTGTGGCTTATGGTTATGCCGTTGTAACGCCCATCCACTGCAACATTTATTATATTTGGGTTTACTGACCCTCCCTTCTGATTAAAAGATTTAACTGCTTCTATTTTTTCCCTCATGTTAATAGTGTTCAACCTTGTCATTTTAGCACTAACTTGGTTAGAAAGAGTCTGCATGCCACTCAGAGAGGGCGGTGGAATATCCAAATCCGTCAACAGCAGCTGAGCTCTGGTGTTTCCAACCGGCATGTCTAACAGTCCAGATTGTAGGGTCAGATTGATAGCGGCTGCCTTTCTACCTGGTTTCCCAGTTGGAATCTCTTTATACAACTTGTAGACAGGTGAGATAAATGTACATTTTGTACACTTTACAGAGTACATCCAGCCCGCTCCCCACTTCTGCTCACTAACAGGCTGGAAATTTGGTACTGCACAGGCCTTTCTTCTCCCCTGGGCATGTAACCGAATGACAGAATTCCACATTTCGACCATTTTCTGGATGTCTATAATCCTGTTTCCCTGGATAGTATTCACCTCAGAATTCTCAGTCTCATCCAAATTTAACATTTCAGGTCTACATCTCAAAACCCGATGACTTCCCGGAGTGGCTTTAGTAGAAAGATGATGCATATTAATTTCATCCCTGATCTCTGTGACACCTGTGGAAGTTGAGGGCAAATCATAATCAGTTTGAGTTCCAGCCGAGGACCCCTGTAAACGTTGCTGTTTAGTGTTGACTTCATGTCCGAGCTTGAAAAAGACAGCCTTGCGTTTATTATGGCCTCTCATATTGGAAGATAACATAAATGGCTTGTATGTTGACTGTTGTGCATATCTCTGGGTCAGGAAAGTTGTAGGTACCATCAACATTGTAAATCATTTGACAGACCAGAATAAAGAGTGAGAACTATGATTGGTCAGCCATGTATCAGATTCCATAATAGGGGGTGGGGATCATAAAACTGTTGTAGTGTTACATAAGCAGATTATCTGAACTTAATTGTCCTATGTAAATACAGCTATATAGGAGACATTTCAAAATTTATAGGCACTGCATGTTTCAACATCTTAGATTTGACCACAATTTGGCACTTGAAACTGCGTTAAGAGAGAAAAACTAAGATCTTTTCAACGAAAATGTTAAAAAAATCTAATATTACATGATAATATCTTGTTTTAAAGGATTTTCTTGATTGATTTATATTGAATTTTTGTTATCTTTTTACAGAATGCATTTATGTTCAAAAATAAAAATGTTCTGTTTAATTCAAAATTCATGTGCTTTTAAATTTCTGTCTGAAATTCCGCAGTTTTCTGATTATTATAGTGTTTGCAGAATGCCGCACAGCTCATCTGAAAATACATAGATTTTCATTATCTTTGGCCAGGGAATTACATATATATTCTTTAAGTGGCATTTAGCGATCAGGGAACAAATTAACAGAACACAGTTTTTATGGGATACAATCACTAGTTTATTCTAAAAGCACGACGTTTCGACAAGTATCCTCTTATCGTTACCTGTGCTTTATCAACTTCCCACTATCCATACATGCTACCCTTTTGAAGGGCTTCATAACTGTTAATAACCCTCTAATCATGCAGTATCAGTGCTTATTAGTAGCTAATTACCTTGTTATGTTTGTTGTTATTGTTAAATATCCTTTACACCTTGATTATTTCTATTACTGTTATTCTTAATCCATGCAGATGGTTTCTTATTAATTTCATATATATTGTCCACAAGTTTACTAAATTGTCGGGGGGTTGGGATGGCCTAGTGGTCTAGCGTGTCACGCTTCGACCTCTAGTTGGCCGGTCACCTCTGGCTTGCGGCTGTGGTTTCGATCCCAGGTGTGAGCGTATGTGGCTTGGAGATAGGGGCGCCTTCTCAACCTCGTGGGTTTACTCCGGGTACTCCGGTTTCCTCCCACAGCAAAGACCCCTGCGCGTGCGCTAAGATCATTAAAATGAACTTGTCTGCGATATCACCTTCGGTGGAAGCGGACGTTAAACGCTAAGAACAACAAACTAAATTGTCATTTGTGCTTGATAACGATTAGAGGATACTTGTCGAAACGTCATGCTTTTAGAATAAACTAGTGATTGTATCCCATAAAAACTGTGTTCTGTTAATTACATATATGTTTGTTTATTAGATAACAACAGATTTGTTTAAACTGCAGAAACATGTGAGGTATATAGGACTAAGACTAGTAATAATTTCCCCTTATTTCATGTAGTGCGAGTTATAAATAGACAATTTTTCCCTTAATTTTTTTCTCCCCTCTTCCTGCATTTTTTGGTTGACTTTTTGGTCTAGAATTGGAGAAAAGGGATCAAATTTGCAATTTCATAGCAGTTTTGGGTAATACTGATGATATTACAGCGGAGAGATAGGGGGTGTAAAGTGTCTTTCTGCAGAGCAATCATTGTGTCGGAAGTGCGATTTTCACCCCAGTCAACCTCAAATCTGCGTAGCAAAAAATCTAAATGGTCAACCCCCTACAAAATTATGATGAGGAGATTGCCAAATGTTGTCCCCATTGTGCCTATAAAGATTGGAACCAACGGAATGTTGAGCAAAAAGCTACAGCCTGGGATGTTACAGCCATTTAACATTGAAGTCAATGGGCAAATAATTGCTAGTCTGAGTCCATATAAATTGAAACAAGTGAACAATTACCTCCCTTTGATAGTATCATCTTGAACTCTGAAACAGACATCAAGTTTATCTTTATTACAGAATTTTTCATTACAGATCAACTATATTTATTACTGAAATTGTAATGGTATGTAATATATTCCATATTGTAATTTTATTATATTTATAATAAAAATTGTAATGCTATGTAATAAATATGTACAGTTATGTTGTACTACACTTTCTTTAGCATACAATGTGAAAGTATATTATATACTGTCAACTAAATTTATAATAGATATAATTGGAATTAATTGTAAGGGGATGTTTGGAGTTTGTTTTATTTATGCCTCATAAATTGTTCTATAGTTCATTATTTTATTTTTTATTTATTAAAACATTTGTAGATATCTTATAAATTATATCTCCGGTTTGTCTTTTGATGGTTTTAAAAGTATGTTCAACTATAGTACCAAATATATTAAGATTTATCAGAATGTAGAAACTTTAAAAACTGATGGCTATACATTATTTAATCAACCTAGACATACCTGTTATGATAAGTCTAATATATATGACACATTAAAATCAATGAAAAACGGTGGCGTTGGTATTGATTATAGCAATAAGAGACATTGTAATATACATAGATTAGGTACCTCATAGGGAGGCAGACCACCATTAAATTTCATCATTTCGGTACCCAGTTCGTCTATTTATAGCAATTCTCTCTCTCTCTTTTCTCCCCTTTTGCATGCCCATTTTTGTTGATTTTTTGGTCTAGAATGGACGAAGAGGGTTTGAATTAACATTTTCTGTCAGGTTTTGGTAAATATTCATGATTTTGAGGCGGAAGGATAAGAGGGTTATCAGGTTAGCTACGGCGATGTGTACGGCAACTAGTTACATGTTTTTAGTATGCTTCTTCAAGTTTGTGTATCTCAAAATTTTGGTGGTCAACCTCATACAAATTTTAGTGCAAAGACATGACCATTTGTTCCTCTGTCTGCAGTGAAAAGCATTCAGCCCAACGAAAATTTGGGGAAAAGTTGGAGGTGGGCAAAGAGGCCAGAATTAACATTGAAGTCAATGGGGAAATTAATGGTGGTTTGCCTCCATAGAACATGTTGTGTGCCAATTATCTCCCTTTAAAAGTAGTCAAAGATGGTCTTATGTATTGATATTAGTGTAAATAGTTTTTCAAATATATGTTTATTATATCAAACATGTTTAAATAACTAGTTTACATAGTTTTCAATTTCATTTGCTTTAATAAGTTGTCAGCTACAACACACAAATGTAGTAATTTTTAAATATAATGCCCCCTTTGAGGCATTATATTTAAAAATTACTCCATTTGCTTAGTTATCAATATCGTTAGCTTTCATGATCTGTCATCTACAAGATACAGATTATGGGTAAACTGATGTAACCGGATATCTTCAAACATTTGTCTGAAGATATCAGGCTATATTTTCAAATATCAGATTTCTCTGATATTAAATAGATTGGAACGGTATGCCATATTTCTATTTGATTTAAAAATGGAGGAGTGAAGCTTAGCTTCGAACCACCAACTAGGTTTGTTGTAATTATTGCACATGTATTGTCTGTCCTTAATGACTAACTTGATGAAATTGACAGATGGTGTCCCTTTTCACGTCTGATACATATTACTTTCAGTAAATATATGTAAAATCATCTAGTTGTTTACCATTGAATAATGAAGATAGTAGGACTTTAAACTCCATTCCACTTCATTTCATTTCACTACTGGAGATATTCAGTGATATTCACTTGTTTTGACCATCGATGGTTATATAACATATAAAAAATACCATTAATAATGTTCCATGTATTTGAAATATTTAATTGTTGTATGTATTGATATAAGTGTACATTTTTTATTCAAATATAAGTTTTTTTTGTCAAATATGTTTAAATATTTTGTTAAATACCTGGTTTACTTATAGTTATCAAAATGCGTATGTTGTCATCTACAAGATATATTTAAAGTGTAAACTGATGCAACCTGATATCTTTAGACAAACGTAATATTTAAATACAATGCCTCTATAGATATATGATGCCTGTTTTTACTACCTCCAGACGTGTATGCCATAACTTAATCTAAGTTTAATTGTATTATTTAATATACATGTAAGTGTAAATGTTATTCTAATATATATTTATTATATCAAATATGTTTAAATATTTTGTTAAACATATCTATTGCCGGTCTTCTATCCTTATGTCTGAAGTGTTATATGAACTATAAATTAGACATTTATTAACATAAAAGACCTTTATCAACTCTCGATGACATCATATGTGTCAGTTTTTCATTGGATTTAAATCCGTTCTGCTTCTCCAGAGTCATTCATGATTAAATCCAAAATGGATAACCAAGACTATGTTTTTTATCGTACCGACTTAAGTAATGATGATCGAGACTAGGTCTAAAAATTCAACCGCTTATATCACGGTTCAGAGTAAAGCAATTTAAATTTTCAGCATATCCCCTTTACATTATCTTGTTTTTAACTATTATAGTTAGAAGTGCTAACTCATAATCTAATTTTTCATAATGTATCTTTAAATAACTGGTGTACTTATAGTTATCAAGGGGGATCACGTGGCTAAGTGGGTAAGACGCTGGCTCGCTAGCCTGGAGGTCGGGTGTTCGAACCCTGCATTGACTGAGAAAGTTCATCCACATTTTCCGGTGTGGTTTCCCCTTGTCAGTGATGCAGGACGGAGGGCCTGACAAGGACAGCTGTCTAGTCGTTCGGATGGAACGAAAAAAAGAGGTCCCGTGTACACATTGGCGTGCACGTAAAAGATCCCTTGGCAGTAGGCCCTAGTGCCGCTGCCCAGGCAAAATCTCTCTCATAGCACACTGTATGACGTATGCCGTCTTCATTAGCCCAGTTTAGGAGCAGAACAGTAGGACGTTAAACCCCATTTCATTTCATATACTTATCAATATGCTTAGCTTTAAGATGCTTTGCTTTTAATAAGTTTTCAGCTACTGGTGTAATCTTAGTTGACAATGGCCTCTATTTAATTGTCCTTTTTTTAGATGCATGTATCTTGAAATGATTTATATTATATTATCAAAATAGTCTACAAGAATTATAGCAATATTTTAATACAATGCCTAGATGTTATCTCAAAAGTTTGTCAATTATCCGAGTTAACAATGGCTTCAATTACTTTTTTAATAAATCTTGTCAATTATCATCAAGTTCGTAATTAACAACAATTCATGATCTGTGGTAATAAGAGATATTCCTGAATTTATTAAGTTCTTACCAATATTATTATTTATCTTTGATTTATAAGAATCTTTTTTATGTTTATAATCTTTTATTGGTTTAAAGATATATATTGTTATCAATAAGAAACCCGAAATTCAGCCATCATGATATTATGTAATTATGTAATAAAATTAACACATTTAATTTGATTTGTTCTTTAATAATGACACCAAGAAACTAATTAAATGGGGACAAGTAATTTGCTTCAAGCATATTAAGAATTACAGAATATTAGCTTCATTGAATAGGGCATGAGTTGTCTATGGTTACTATTTGTATCCACTGTGTAGTCCATGCATAAATATGATCGACCAGCGCCAGCATTACTATTCGACTTGCAACAAAGGTATAACCCAGACACGTTCAACGTGGTACTTGATCTTAAATAATATTAGTATTTATTCTTGGCAATGGGGCATTAATCGTTCCTGATAATGGGAAATCTGAGGTAATGAACACGGTCATACGCCATACAGTAAGCTATATGGATTCCAATTGCCTAGAGATCTTTTACCTTTACGGCAATGTGTTCACTGGATGTCGCTTTTTCGTCTCATCCGAATGACTATACATTGTCGCATGCCAGTCCCTATGTTCTGCACCACTGACAAGGATGAAGTACCTCGACCCACGCTGGGATCTAACACCAGACCACCAGGGGTGTTACATGGCCGAATGGTTAGCATGTGCACGCTGTATCATACATAAGGCCTGTCATTGAGTGAACTGGCGTGGCGTGGGACTTCGGAATCGCGTATGTCAGCTACTCAAATATGTAACAGGTTCAAAAATTCATTGAATATTCAATGAAATATCGCCAATTTTCTGGTTTCGCGCACGTTAAAGATTTGACGTCACTAACATGTAAAAAAAACAATTCCATATTTTGGTTAACAGTAAAACACTCTCATAGTCATATTATAGAATTCAAACTGCCAAAGGATCTTTTACGGTCACAACAATCTGTACACGGGACTTCGGAATCGCGTTCATGGCAGCAACTCAAATATGTAACTGGTTCAAAAATTGATTGAATATTCAGTGAAATATCGCCAATTTTCTAGTTTCTTGCACGTTAAAGATTTGACGTCACTAACATATAAAAATATAATATTTATTACAGATAGAGTCCATGTACTAACAACGTCATTCTGTACGATCTGTACGATACTACTACAATCTCTTCAAAAATTGGACATGCTTATAAACAGCGCGAGCCGTCGATTTCTGTCTAGATGATTAAGGTTATAAGATAATTTTGACAAAGAAGCAACAATATTAATTCAAAGACTAATTATTACACACAGCAATTAACTACTTCTGTTACAAGGTCACTAAACCCATATTTTGGATACAAGTAAACACTCATAGTTGAAATAATTTTAATCACTGTGAAACAAAAAAAAAACACTCTTGAATATGCTCTGTACGTTGACAAAACGTACAGATTGTATCAACCCCTTATTGCATGTTTTACTTAACAACGGAAGGTGCCGTTTTCAATTTTCCATCCCTTTGTTCTCCTACTCCTGATATTTAGGACTGTTGTACCATGGTTCCATACAAAAGACTACCGATTAGACTCTCTGTAGAAGAAGTTCCCAAAAAATATTATGTTGACTTTTCGAGAAATAGACCTCTAAAAATGCTCCAAATCGTAAAAATACGTTTTCGATTTTCGATCTCTTTTTTCGGCTACCCCTGACATTTCAAAAAATGATACAGTGGTTCCATACAACAGAGTACCCATTAGTCTCTCTCGATTGAGAAAGTTTTAAAAAAAATCGTAGGGGGCGTTTCCGAGAAACATGCGTCTAAATTTGCTCGAAATCAC